TTTACTCCATGGGGTCTCTTCTGTCTCAAGAGCTTTCTAAAATGTGACAGCTTTTTTCTCTTTTTTAAAAATTATTTATTTATATATATTTTACATCATTGTCCTTTTTGACGGGGGGATTTTTTTTTTTTTTACAGTGTTTGCTTTCTTTTCTCAGGTGTAGTCCCCATAATGTGACAGCTTTTTAAGAATCTAGGGAACAAGTCAGATAACCAGGTATTTCTGAGCCCATGACATTTAGAGTACCTAGCATTTTCTGCTCTTCAAATATTAAATTAATTAGTATTAAATTCTTATCTATAGTTCTAGTCCAGGGAAGCATACCTTTTACTATTTGAAGCTGAGTATTAGGACCATGGGAAACAAGTTCTAGGATAGTGGGCCTTGACAATCCATGGAATTGCCACTGATATCTGACTTGTTAAAAATGTCTCTAAAGCTGCAATATCCAAGCATGTCATTGTCATTTTGTTATAGCAAAATTTGAATTTTCTACTTTTTCCAGACTGGGGTACAAAAGCAATTGGATTCTTCCTTAGAGCTAAATAATTAAAGGCACAGATTTTGGTCTCAGATCTCCTGGGTTTGATTCCCAGCCTTATCACAAATGGCTAAAGGACCTTTGCAAATGGGTAGCCTCTCTGTGCCTTAACTTCCTCATCTCTGGAATGAGTGTAACTATTTGACTCACAAATCCTATGTGAGGATTTGACTCACAGAGACTGTCGTGACAAATAAGATGATGTATGTGAAATACTTAGCATGATGCCTGGTACATAATGAGCACTATACCCGTGAATGTTGGATTATTGATAATAAAGTTACTACCCTGTTTACTATCCCAACTCAGTTTAGAGCTGGACTTTGCCCTGTTCATTTCATGGGACACATCAGATTGTGCATAGTTGGAGAAGTTGATCTGGAAATGTTGTAGGATGCATTTCTTTTGGATATCATGGAAAAGCGTGTTTAAAAATTCCTCAGTTTCAAGGTTAGTGCTCTTTTCCCCCTCCTTGTTGCTATCACCATGGCAAAAACTCTAAAAAGATATATATCAATATCACCTGATTTCCTCTGAGAGTTGTTTTCTTTCTGCCCCTTGGTAAGAATATTCTAGCTAAAAAAAAAAAAAGTCCATAAGTGATTCCTAACCAGTGGGTCAAATTCTTCTATCCCTCATATATGGATTACATTCAGTAAAATTCGTGCTTCTCAGTATGCCAGACACAAAAATCTTAAGGGATCTTTTTCATTCCATTTCTTCCTTTTAATCCTACAGAAAATAAAAGTCATTTGAATAAAGTCATGATTTTTACTACCAGTGACAATGTGAAAATCATGTACTTAGCATTAAAATGTGGTTAGCAACACCTCATACTAATTAAAGCAATTAAGCACTGAGAAAGTGCATGGATAGGGCGGGGAGTACTGGATTATAGCAGTAATCAGACCTGAATTCTGCCTTAGGAAAGCTCACAAATGACTGGAGACTGCTAATATACCAATTATTGTAAGGCTAAGCCATATAAAATTACCAATATTCATTTGTTTTTGTCACTCCAAATGGCAATATCACTCCTATATCTTCTGAAAAGGAGTGAAGTTTGAAAATTTGTAAAAGCTAGCAAGGTAGGGGAATGGACAGGGCTTGCAGCATTGGGAACAGCATGTGTAGAGTTGAAAAGTGATGCAAGGTGAGGCTAGACAAATAACCAAATGTCTTCCTTGTAGGCCTCAATAAGGATATTGACTTTATTCTAAGAGCACTGGGAGGAGATGTGATACCATCATATAGTGTGCTTTTTATTTGTTTCATTTTTGAAGTTAACTTAGTAATTACTTGAGATTAACTTTAAAAGAATGTGTGTTTCTTAAAAGTCAGTCTGCTTGCCAAGAGATCCACTGTAGCTCTAAGAGTGGATGGGGCCAAATCAATTGAGAGACTTTTGTAGCTGGAGCTGGTGGTTGGCTGTTTGTTTATAAGATGATTTCAAATGTATTGTCTTAGTTTATCCTTATAACAACACTCCCATAATATGAAGCTCATATTATCAGCTTTAGTGTCCAGGTGAGGAAGCAGTCCCAAGGGAACTTTAGGTCTGGCATCCATGGGTATTGGCAGTTGGTCTATCCTAAGAAAAAATTCGTTTTTAGGAAATGGAGTTCTCCTTCCTTGGTGTAGGATAGAGGTGAGAAAGAAATGTTTAGCTTTGGTTTATTGACTGAGAGTTGAGTAAGCAAACATGATATAGAACTTGATATTAGATGGGGCATCTTTTTTTGGAAAAAAATAATTTTTTTAAAAGATTTATTTATATATGCATACAAGAGCTGGGGTATAGGCCAGAGGGGGGGGAGTGAGAGGACTCACCAGAAACAGAGTGGGGAACAGAACAGGCAGTTTGACTGAAATACACTGCTAAGGGGAGCAGCGGGCTAGTCAGGAAAGGTCTGCTGCACCATGTGGGTAGCTCCTTGGCCAGCCAGGGGGATCAAACTCATGCTGCAGAGGCTGCGGACAGATTCATAGGTTGCATCTTAACCCCTTGAGCCACCAGGGAGGCCCCAGAAAAAAATATAATTTTAAATTTCATGTATTAATTTATATTCTGCCTCATTCCAAAAGTGGATTTGAAATGGCTTTCAAAACTAGGACTGGTGATACAGGACAAAAAGAGAGTGTATAAAATCAGCACCTACTAATTAAGATGAGGCCATAGGTATTATAAGTCTAACAAACTTACGGAATCCTAGGCAACAAACAAAAACAAGTCAGTTGTTCTGTTTAGAGGAGCTGTTTCTTCTACTGGAATTTGAAGATGTCTTCATTGGGTCTTCACGAAGACTGTAGGTTAATGTGAGCAAAGGCCATTGCTGTTTCACAGAATGAGGAGTGACTGAGGGGGTGAGAGTGAATTACAGTGTCTGGAGGACACTTTTCTTTAGAACCTGCCCTACGAATAGTAAATCTCATTGTGGAACCTTCAGTAAGACGGCTTGTTCCACAGAAAATCAAAGATTTGGGCTTAAGCTGGACTTCTCAATTGAGGTGCTTTTGGGGTACCCAATACTGTGTCAGGATAGATGTGAAGCCACAAGATAAGCATGCCATGTGGGTTTTGTTTGAAGACTTGTGACTAAACAATACTATACAGTGTATTTGGAGTCATTCTAGAAAATCAAATTTTTCTGGAAACAAGTAATTGAGCCTTCATGTTTTATTTTGGGGAAATTTTCTGTAACTTGAATAGCCATGAGAGATGGATCAATAATCCTTCTTTTCCTCATTCAGATATAGCACAAAACAATATAAATCTATAATTCTACTTACATATTAATAATTATTTTCCATTCCTAAAGTTTATATATCCATTATTATGATAATTTTTAAAGGAGAAATTTTGCTATTATGCAAAGAAAGAAGACACAATTCTGACAAGCATGTGCCAGGAATCATGCTTTATAAATATCTTCTCTCTTCCTTATACGATCCTGCAAAGAATTATCTTCACTTTATGGGTGAGGAAACTGGGACTCAGAAAAGTTGAATAAATTTATCTGAATTCTTTTAGCTAGTTAATGAATGGTACAGTAGCCTGAATTTTATTCTGCTTTGACAGGGTCTAATTATTTTCAGCTCCCATCTGTAATTTGCTGGTCATTCGGTTTTATTCAAGATGCAGCATTTAGAGAATGCTCCTCACACACTTGGGTGTGGATTATATCCTTTGAGAAGTAAATAGTTTAACAGCTATTACTCTATGGTTTATTTAAGGGTGTGACTTTTTAAAAAGTAGATCATTGATAATAAGGATTAAAACTAGCTCATGGTTTAGTTTTATTGCTTATATTCCCCTAAGATTATGAAAACCACTGAATGCTCTGCCTGTCACTGCAGTATGGAGCTGTACTGACTTTAGAGACCATTTAATTGGCAGGCACCAAGAGTGTTCCCTGTAGTCTTAAAAACCCAATGGTGTCCTGGCACTGCGCGGTGAACAGTGGATCAGATGGGGTGGTGAGCTGGACGTGCTTCTGCATGTCATACCCTACCTCCACTTCAAACAGCACCTGTTTTTTTGGCAAAAGAAAGGGTGCTGTACCTTAACGCGTGTGCACGCACACACACACACACACAGACTGTTTGAACAGTATTGGTCATCTAATTCCTTTATTTTCTTTGGAGAGCAAGCTTTGGTTCAGATAAAAAAAAATCTATTGCTTAAGAACATAGAACAAGGCATGACAGGATACTAGTCTTCTGTGGTGCCCAGTCTGGTATTGCAACCATTGCACCATATTGAATCTTACAGATTTGGGCTCTTAGAACTTATCTGGAGCTTCAGGTTGCTTGAGGAGGACTCTCAGTAGCTGGGAGAGAATATTCTTAAATCAGGCCAACTATATTCCAGATGTGAAATAAAGGCAAAATTTCCGTGCTTATTGGGATATGTTTTTAATGTCTTACCCGCAATATCCTTATCTTGAACTTAAGTCCCCTTAATTGGAATAATTTCTATATCATAACTTTTCAGATTATCCTAAGACCCCCACCTCATATTTTTCATAGTGCTCTATGCAAAGGACATCCTCAGAAGAGCCTGGAACTACACATTTAAGTTAGAACAGCAGGTTACTTTCATAGCAACTCTGATGAATTGGCAGTGTGTGACAGGAGTGGTTGTTTTAGTGGTTTTTGAGTCCATCTCTCTGGATTCAGCAGGAAAAAGTGTGATGATTCATTAGTGATATGTAATGTAAGCGCCCAAATTGGGGCAGGTGGTCCATGAGCTGGATATTCTCATCTCTGTAAAGGGCACCTCCTCCTTTTTGTGAGTTTATAAACATAAAATATAGGCTACATCCAAATTCCTTCCCAAACATTGTGTTGTTCATTTTAAAGTCACATGTGCACTAAAGAAAGCAGAGGGGAAAAGTATAACAAATGAAGATAATATGGAAATAGAAAACATTTCAGGTAATTTTTTTTTATGCCTTAGGATTTGCCTCAACGGATACTCCAAAAGTTGAACTGAGAAATACGAAGCAAGCTGCCTGAATTCCCTGTGTATTCTTGTCCTACATCTAATAAAGGACAGATCAACTTGGTGGGTTTTGGTGAGTATACTAGTGTCTTTTTCTCCTGCACTTAAGGAAAACCATAAATTGTTATTATTAATCAGGCAGGATATCTGCTGCTTACAATGCGTGCCTGGTATGTGTTTATGCAGTAACATTAGTGGCACATACAATGTGGCAGGTTATCTTGAACCCACAGTAAATCCTATTTCTTTGTTCAGTTGACATCTTCGTGACCCAGGAGGAAAAACCACTACTACTGTGTGCATGTGTGAACATATTCAGGGCTAAGAGAAGAGGAACAATTGTGTGTTGCTCATAAATCTGCTCCTTCCTCTCCTACCCCCCACATTGAAGTCAAGGGTATTTCAATCAGAGTTGGTTCTTTTTTTAAATGTTAGACACAAAGAAGGGCCTTTGTATAGCTATATAGAATACTTGTATGTTCTTGAAAAATCTTCATACCTTGTTTCCTCACCTGTCATATAAGGTAAAAATAACTGTCATGTCAGACAAATCACAGTAATCCTGTGAATTATAACATGTAAATGTGCAGCTATATAGCTCTACAGATAGAAGGGATTGTTATTCTGTGGGTGGTAAACCTATGTATGCTGCAGCAGGGTTGCAGAACAGGAAGGAAAGAGGCTACTCATATCAGTTTCACCCTGAACCATGCATGTCCGATCCATCAGTCACAGCGGTGACCCTTGTAGCTCTGAGAAGTGGGGACAGCTCCTAATATGTTAGGGAGGGGCTACTAATGACACTGATGTGCCCAACAATTTCCTCCTTTCCCCTAAAACTCCCTTTTCACATCTGCTAGTTTCAGAGACTCTGAGAACTACATTTTTTTAATATGATTTTTTTTCATTTTTATGAAAGCATACTCATTAAGGAAATCTAGAAATCAAAGAAAAATATAAAAATGACTTAGAATCCCACAATCCAAAGAGAAACAAATTAACACTACGGTACTCCTTTTTCATTTGATTTTTATATTTTAAAATATTTTATACATATTCTAAAATTTATAACATAGTTGAGAACATGAAATAAGTATTCTGGTCTATAACTGTGCCATAATATGCTGAGCTGTTTCCATAGTGTTGAGTATTATGTTTCTTGCATCATATGTAGATGGAATTTTTCCATTATATTCATTATGTTATAAATACCACCACAGTGAACCAAATTTGACTATAATTTTACTCTGTCTCTGATTACTTTCGTGGGGTAAATTTCTATAAATGGAATCATCAGCTTAATAAGAATAAACTGAAATGTGTTGACCAAATTAGACTCACTCTTCTATCTCTCCCCATTCATTATAGGTGTTCATTTCATGGCACATGCAGAAAGATTGCGTTCTAGGGGCCCCCCTGGTGGCGTAGGGGTTAAGTTTCAGTGCTGTAACCACTATGGCCTGAGTCCAGTCCCCGGCCAGGGAGCTAACCTACCTATGGCGCAGCAGACATCTCCTGTCTTACCTGATGCCCCCCCTTAGCAGTGTATTTCCATAAATACACTCTTCTGCTCCCCACTTTCTGGTGAATCCTCTCACAGTCCCTCTACACACCCCCTCCCCATACCTCTGGCCTACACCCCAGTTTTTCTATGCCAAATAAAAAAGAGAAAGATTGAGTTCTATCAATTTAAGAAAGTTTAAAATTATAAATATTTCATAGAAATTCAGAAATAAAAGCCTAGTCCTCCCCCTTGCCCACCTCAGTCCTTGCCAATGTGGGGCCTTGAAAGTAGAAAACATTGTCATCCAATTGACGATGTGCATCAACCTTAATCTGTCAGGTCTGGTTCTGGGAAAAGCATATCTGAGACCTGCATTCATTCACTTGGTATTTCTTACCACCACTTTTGTTCATTTCTGTACTGCATTCTTCAGAAGAACAAAAGGAAATATTTTCATTGTCTAGGAGATGCTTTGTTTGCTTGGCAGGCCAAACAAACACAAATTCAGTAAAACTCAAATATTTGGATGCGTCGCTCAACTTCTCCGTTGTTACTTCTTTAAAGTAAGAGGCTTGGGCCTCCCCGGTGGCGCAGCGGTTGAGCGCTGGGTTGCGAAGCTGCCCGCGGCCTCTGCGGCGCCGGTTCCATCCCCGGCTGCTCCCCAGGCACCTCAGGAGGGTCCCACATGGCACGCAGACCTCTCCTGCCGCCCGCTGCTCCTCTCAGCAGTGTACTTCGGTCCTTCTGCCTGCTCTGCTCCCCGCTCTGGCTCTGGTGGATTCTCTCACCCTCCTGCCCTTCTGACTGTACCCAGTGCTTATATATATTTATTAATTAATTAATTAATTAATCTTTAAAAAAATAAGAGACTTGTCCATATCTGAAGAATATCTGATGTGATTTTAGTAAAAACACCTATGTGAGTAGATCATGTAGTGAAAAACAATTAAAATCAGTATGTAGATCTCTAAATTTACTTGTGAAAGCACATATAACTTCCATTCTTGGGCAATGAAGATACATCAGTTGTTTTGGAGAGAAAAGTTTCCCTGCACTATTAGTAAAAATTTTTTGAAGTTAATGATTTCTTTTAATGTAACACTAAAGATGTAGGAAACCCTTCAAGATCGCCTCTAAAATTTCCTTTAGCTCAACATCTGTAATTTATAAGTAATAAAATACCAAATGCTGAGGAGAACCAAGAATAAGATCTTAAACTGATGCATTTGACAGATTAGTTCTGTATAAATCTTCATTCTCACCCTGGCATCACTGCCTTCCAAACATACACTAACTTGTACTGTTCATGGAATTTTGGAACATATCAAACTGGTTCAAGGAGCGAATAAGTTCATAAATATTCAGCTACCTTTCACTATTACTGCATACACACCTACCAAAAAATGTTGTAATTGCATGACTCAACCACACTCCTGCTCTGAGCCATTTCAGAGAGAGGGTCAAACTCTGGTAAGAATGTCTGCCACCGGCCAATTGATCTTTCTCCATGTGGTAAATTATCCCTTACAGATGAGTATAGAGTAGATACATCATGAGTACTTTTTTGATTTGTCTCTTAGATTTTGTTCCCTTTTGTAATACAAATTTCTTTTGTACACACACACACACACACACACACTTCCAACACCTATGTAAATGTTTTTGTTTTACATAGGTGTTGAAACAGTTTCTAAAAGCATGAAGCAACTATAATAAAACCTCAGGCTAGCTCTAATCCTAATCCTATAACAACAAGGACACTTTTGGACTAGATCTCACAGTAAAAAGTCTCATCTGCTACTATGTTGGTCATCTGTTCTCTGCACTTTGAATCACAAACAAGATGAAAAAAGTTGCATAACATAGACCATCATTTTCCTAATTTTGTTCTTAAAATTCTGTGCTCTTTCCTCCTTCTTAGGCCTTGTATTAACTCTGGTTTTTCATGACTCTTTATTGTGGTCAATATGCATAACATAAAATTTACCACTTGAACCATTTTTAGATATACAGTTCTGAGGCTTTAAATATATGTTGTACAACAATCCGCCTCCAAAACTTTACCATCTTCTCACACTCATATATCTGTACCCATTAAACATAACTCCCATTCCTCTGTCCCCCTAGCTCCTGGCAACAACCATTCTACTTTCTGTCTCTATGGATTTGATTGTTCTAGGTATCTCTTATAAGTGGAATTATACAACATTTGACTTTTTGCATTTGGCTAATTTCACTTAACATAGTGTCATGGTTTATTCATATTGTAGCATATGTCAATATTTCCCTCCTTTTTAAGGCTGAATAATATTCCACCATGGATATAGACCATATTTTATCCATTATGCAGTGATGAACATTTGGTTTATTATCACCCTTTGGTTATGTGAATAATACTGTTATAATCATGGGTGAGCAAATATCTGCTTGAATTCCTGCTTTCAATTCTTTTGGATATATACCCAGTAATGGAATCAGTAGGTCGTAGGTAATTCTCTGTTTAAGTTTTTGAGGAGTCACCATACTAGCTTTCACAGCAACTGTACCATTTTCCATTCCCACCAGCAATGCATAGGACTGCAGATGCTCCACATCCTTGCCAACACTTCTTGTTTTCTATTGTTTTTTATAACTGTCATCCTAATAGGTATAAAGTTGTACATCACTGTGGTTTTTGACTTGCATTTCTCTAGTGATTAGTGATGTTGAACATCTTTTCATTGGCTTGTTGGCTATTTGTGTATCATCTTTAAAGAAATGTCTATTCAGATCTTTGCCCATTTTTAAACTGGATGTTTTATTTTGTTGTTGCCGCATAGTTATTTATATCCTGTGGATATGAATTCCTAGTATTTTAAGGAATTATTTTCTCCCATTCCTTGAGTTGCCTTTTCATTCTACTGATCATCTTCTTTGATTCACAAATGTTTTTCATTTTGATGTATACCAATTTATTTTTCTCTTTTTTGCCTGTGCTTTGATGTCATGTCCAAAAAATCAATGTTGTGGCAAGTTTTCCCTTTATACTTTCTTCTAAGATTTTTATAGTTTTAGTTCATTGGTCTTTGATCCCTTTTGAGTCCATTTTTGCAAATAGTATAAAGGCCAGGATTGTTTTAAAAGAGAAACTTTTTTTCAAGATTTATTTATTTATGCATACAAGAGCTGAGGTACAGGTCAGGGTGTGGGTGGGGTGGGTGAAAGGATTCACCAGAGACAGTGGGGAACAGAACAGGCAGATTGACTAAAATACACTGCTGAGGGGAGCAGCGGACTAGGCAGGAAAGGTCTGCTGCGCCATGTGGGCAGCTTCCTGGCCCGGAATTGAACTCTGTTGCAGAGGCTGCGGATAGCTTCATAGTGCAGTGCTTAACCCCTTGCGCCACCAGGGAAGCCCATAAGGAGGAACTTTTCTAAGTCTACCAAGTTTTAGTGAAGATGTGTGTCAGCCAGTTAAGCAGGTAACACATATATTCATGCCCAATGCTCATCTTCAATTATTTTTCCTCTAATGTGGGCATAGGTGGTTTCCCAGCAGACAGGTGAGAGAGAGCTAAAGCCTAAAGCCA